TTCCTGTGTAGGTAAGGTTGTTTTATGTCATAAAAAAGATGAAAAAAGTCTTAGTTTAAGATGAGTTTCTTTTTATAAAGAGGCTTAATTTAACACTTGTAAAATGTATTTTTTATCACTAATAAGATGACTTGCAATTCTGTGCTCTGCCGACAAATTCCATTGCAGCAGTATTTGTGTGATGATTCTAAAGTACGTTGTAGCTTTCTAAAGTAGCCTTTTTGGGCAACCTTATAGTACAAAGGTAGGCATTATAATAGATTACAAGGATAAGCATTATAATACAGTTACTAGATGTACAACATTAAGCTTAATCTGTACTTTTAACAGTAATGTATTCTGTTGCCTTTTTTGAATTTTAAGTGTGATAAGAATAGACTTAATTAAGAATAGACTTAATATATTTATACTATAGTAAATGCCAATAACATTCAATACTGTGCAAGAGTTTTGCAGTCCAGTAGAGACAGAGGAGATGGGACAGGCAGAGAAGCTTAGTGGAATTTGACAGGTGAGGCTTTTTATGTTTGAATTGGTTCACTCCTTGAATTTCAGCGGATTGTATTAGAATAGTATTAGAATGGCCAGTGGCTTGCTGAATCAGGACTTAGAGAAATTTTCCATGCTTGCAGGCTGGGATATGCAGCTACATAAATACCTTTAATAATTTGTGTAATACAGCAGCATTGTCAGTAATTAATTTTATTAGAATTTTTGACTTAGTAATAACATCGTAAGAACATCAGAAAAAAGGAGGAAAAAAGGGAAAAACTATTTGTGGGGGAAAAAACAAAAACCAAAAAACCCTGAACACCAGTAATTAAATTAGTTTTTTATAATGGGTCATTTAACTTCTCAGTGGTGAGGAATATATCCACATTACCTTTCCAAAAGAACATTCCCATTCTTTTCTAAGTTGCTTTGAATTGCTCTTGGCAAATAGAAGAACTTTACAAAATCTGTTTTGCAGATGTGGAATTCACCACTTAAAAAGTTTAAATTTAACTTGTATACGTGGAGCCTTCTTCATGGAAGTTTTCTTTGAAAATAAATTTATGAAAGAAAAAGTAAAAATATTTATGTGGCTGTGCATATCATTCAGTATATTAAAAACTGATGTGTGATGAAAGTGACATTATATGTTGGAGGGATAGTTTAAAAAAAAATCTCTATATGTTGTTTTTACTAAAGAGCAAACTGTCATTAAACACAGTTTGTTTTCAGGTGGAAAAAAGCCTCATTCAGGAAATGTTTTCCTTTTGTTTTCAGTGGAGTTCAAAAATATCTTGGTTATACCTACCAACAGATAAATGTTAGTATTATAATTCTGCTAAATGCTGCAACATAAAGCATAAAACAGCGTTATTCTTTCATCCCACACTTATTTAGGCCTAGGGAGATACACTTAGTAAGCGGCTTTTTTGACCAAAATGAGTCTCCTGGAACTGATCTGATAGATCCAGGAGTAAAATTTTGTATTCATTTCAACACAAACAACATTAGATTGGACCCAGAGTAGGTTAGGAAGTGAAAATGGGACTTCTGTAATGCAGTCTTAATGATTTTTCCTCAGCCTCAGACATAACGAAAAAAATAACTAAGTGGTACAAAATATTCTGTAAAAAAAAATAGAGGCAAAATTCCAAATTGTGCTCTCGGAGTTATCTGTGATATCGTGTCATGACTGAGGGTCAGTAGCAGAAGGGGAGAGAAAATACAGAAGCAGCCTTAGTTAGCATTTGTTTCACATATTGCCAGTTTAAAGACATATTCCCCGAAGGTAAATTGTTTGGGTTTCCCTGTTTCTTGTTTCCCTTTCCTTCTGGCTAGAATGGGAGGAGTTAAATATTAAGAAGTATTAGGTGTTGTGAGGGAAAAGGACTGGAAAAAGGCTTCATGTAAGTTTCAGTTGTAGACAGGGGGAAAGCATCAAAATCTCTTCTGGAAGAAGAGACAGGATGCTCAGATAGTTATTGACGGAGCATGGAGGGTAAAAGGGGAATGTCAGAACAAATTAGTTTGTCAGACTGTGTGATGAAGGCACTTAAAATGGGGTAGTGAAAGTATCTCTCTCAGGTCCTTCAGCAATCCCTATGTTTCTAGTCCATCCCTGGTGTGAAGGAAAATATAAAACATGCATAGTCTGTAGATGACCTCTAATGTTTTGTTGGTGGTGATTCAGTCAGAAACCATGGGCCAATTTATTCATGTGGTAAGCTGAAATTTTGTCCATGGTATTACAAGATGTGTTTGCAATGCAATGTCCATTTTTTTAATAAAAATTGGAAATGTTTCCATAAAGAATAAAAAAACTTAAAAGGTCTGACATGAAAGAAGAGATTAAAGAGCTCAGTCTTAGCTCGAGTTAAAGGGTCTCTGGGAATGATTGATCAATTTCTAAGTAATATATAGATGATTTCTTACGAAATATTTTTTTTTTATTTTAGTAGAAAAGTTTTATAGTTAGATCCAATAGCAGCAAGGCAACAGTAAACACACACTCAGTGTGGGGATATTAAGAAAACATTGAGGGGACATTAAACATGTACTGTAGGCTATGTGGGCATTTTTAACAGGGCATGTAACTCATATGTGAGGGAATGTGGCCAACTGTCTGCAGCAGAAGCAGCAGCTCAGGTAACGTGGATTTTTCATCTGATATCTGTTGATATTACAGTTGATTTGGGGCTCGCATTTTTTTTATCTGTGTTATAAGAGATAGAACTAGACAGGTGTTACTTCTTTCTTTACAGTTGAAAGGTAAAATGAATAAGAAGGTTTGAATATGCTCTGTAGTGTTGTGAAGCAATTGAGGTTTTGACAGGACATTGAGCCCTAAAAAGAGGAGACTGAAGGCTTTAAAAAAGTCTATCTGTGTCAGCAGAAATAAAGAATTAGGATGGTGAAGGATTCTCAGAGATTGTTTTTGGAATTGCAGCTGAGATGCTTGTGAGGCATCTTAGGTAAAAAGGCAAACAGAGGGAGGCAGGCTTTAAACTTCCCTGCACATAACCATGTTACTGGGTGCACCATCTGAGAAGTGGGTATATCAAGGCAGTCCTGGGAAATTAGCACTATAAGAGAGGAAGTAGCTTTCCAGCAGGAGAACGTCGTCACAAGAGGAGGAAGAGAAGCTGGCGGTACAGGATATTCAAATGAAATTCTGGAAGGATTGAATATTATGAGGGAAAGGGACTGGAAAAAGACTCAACTTTTGAGTAAATATCAGAATAGGAGAAAGTGTCAGTGTGCCTGTTGAAAGGTAGGAGACTGAGATGGTTATTTGACAACACATGGAGAGGAAAAGGGGAATCTCAGACTCACATAATGGTTGAGGATGGAAGTGACCTCTGAAGATCCTCTAATCCAACCATCCTGTTCAAAGAAGGATCACCTAGGCACCTAGCATATGGCCATGTTCAGACAGGTTTTGAATAACTCCAAGAAAGGCAATTCCATAACCTTGCTGGGCAACCTGTTCCATATAGCAGCATGGATTTATTCAAGTGACCCTAGAAAATGCATCATAATCTAATGTTTCATTTAAAATAAATAAAAAAAAAAACAAACCAAAACCCAAAGCAACCATCAGAATGCTAGAGTGTCTTATGCTAGAGCTCCAAATAGAGCAAAGAAGTGATATGAGATTTGAAGACTTTTAAAAATGAGACTAATCTTGACTTTATTATGGTCAACTGGAGATTATTCTACTTTAGTTACTGATTTCTCATAACTGTCATTAAATGTGTGATTAAATATAACTTCTGTGAGCTATTTCCAGCTCATTTTCATGTCTGTTTTATCTTAGAATTATATATATGTCAGCTCTGTAGCCTGTCTGTTCTTGTAGCTGTGATGGAAGTTCCTAATGTTATGCTGTCGTGTCTTGTCTTGTTTTGGAGAAATTGCAGCCTTTGTTAAAGTGGTTATTTGCTTTGCTAGAGACCGGTGAATTATGTGCTGTTGGATCATAGGCAATGTTTGTATAGGCTAAACAAATGAGGTCTTGAGAACTTAGTGATTTTTTTTTTTTTCTTTCTAAATTAATGATCTTCCTTCCTTTGCCAAATCCTGAAACTCTTCTCTGCTTTAGATGCCAAAAGAATTTTGAATTTTTATCTGGAAAGAACTCAACATGTTAAATGGACAGAAAACATTTGTATCTAAGACAATTTAAAGAGTCCACCTGTATCCCAGTATTTTAGTTCTCTCTCATTTGGATGTTTTTGTGTATGTAAGACACATTGAAGATCCAGGCAGATATTCTCTTTCCATTAAAAAGAAAAAGGATGTATTTATTTTGCTAATAATGTGAGAAAAACTCAACTTGAAAAAACAATATTACATAAATGAGCCTTTGTAAAGTATTTGAAGCACACTTTTACACAGAACTCTAAGACCTTCAGGATTAGTGGAAAAGAATGACAATAATATTACAATTAATTGTTTAAAATGCCTATTTAAAATAAAGAAAAGCCTGAAGAATAACCATCCAGTCTGCAATACTGCCAGTTAAAAGCAGGTTTGTCAGTTGTTGTCATGTCAGAATTAAGACAATCTGTGTAGTTAATGAATTTGTACAAGCATTCATGCCTGTTTCCTGAAGTCTTCATGCTTGTAAAGGACTCAGTACTTTCACCTTCCTGATTTCCAGTGACAGTGGAGACTATGTAGTACCTGCATATGAACCTTTGGTCATTTGTCCAGTTGTAAACAATTTTATGTATTTACATGAGAGTTTGGGAAGAACTGATTTTTGTTGTTTTTTGTTGTTTTTTTGTTGTGTTTTTTTTTTTAAAACATTCACATGCATGTTAGTCAATGTGTTAGTTTCATGACTGCCGTACCATATCTTAAATGCTGTTTTGCCATTACAACTTTATTTGAACAATATTGTATGCCATTTATGCTGAAAAAGGTGTTTGATTATATCATTAGAAGAAATATTTCGTATGTATTAACTTTATCTAAAACAACTCTTTATTTAAACCTTTTTCCAGAACTGTGAGGACATGGGATGTTAACAATGAAAAAAAGCACAAAAGTGTATTTAAACCACGATCAGTTCAAGGTAAACGCGTGATTCCTACAACTTGCACGTACAGCAGAGATGGTAAACTTATTGCAGCTGGGTGTCAAGATGGCTCCATCCAGATCTGGGATAGGAATATGAGTGTAAGTCAAGTATTTGCTAACAATATATGCTTCTAATATATCAAATGCTGAATGTTAAAGCTGATAAAATCTATTTTGATACTTTCATACTCACATCTTATTTCCGCCCCCTCCCCGAAAACTAAATAACTCATAGGCAAAATTCAATATTTCTTCTGCCTCTCTACAACTTCAGTGTGCTGCTATTCAGTTCAAAACACTGAGGAAACTCTTAGCAGTCTTTTTTTAAAAAAAAAAAAAAAAAAAAAAAAAAGTTGGCCCAATACCTATATTTAAAATATTATTTATTAAACAT